AAAACTGGAAAAATTCCCTTTGAAAACTGGCACAAGACAGGGATGCCCTCTCTCACCACTCCTATTCAACATAGTGTTGGAAGTTCTGGCTAGGGCAATCAGGCAAGAGAAAGAAATCAAGGGGATTCAGTTAGGAAAAGAAGAAGTCAAATTGTCCCTGTTTGCAGACGACATGATTGTATATTTAGAAAACCCCATTGTCTCAGCCCAAAATCTCCTTAAGCTGATCAGCAACTTCAGCAAAGTCTCAGGATACAAAATTAATGTGAAAAAATCACAAGCATTCTTATACACCAGTGACAGTCAAACAGAGAGCCAAATCAGGAATGAACTTCCATTCACAATTGCTTCAAAGAGAATAAAATACCTAGGAATCCAACTTACAAGGGATGTAAAGGACCTCTTCAAGGAGAACTACAAACCACTGCTCAGTGAAATCAAAGAGGACACAAACAAATGGAAGAACATACCATGCTCATGGATAGGAAGAATCAATATCGTGAAAATGGCCATACTGCCCAAGGTAATTTATAGATTCAATGCCATCCCCATCAAGCTACCAATGAGCTTCTTCACAGAATTGGAAAAAACTGCTTTAAAGTTCATATGGAACCAAAAAAGAGCCCGCATCTCCAAGACAATCCTAAGTCAAAAGAACAAAGCTGGAGGCATCACGCTACCTGACTTCAAACTATACTACAAGGCTACAGTAACCAAAACAGCATGGTACTGGTACCAAAACAGAGATATAGACCAATGGAACAGAACAGAGTCCTCAGAAATAATACCACACATCTACAGCCATCTGATGTTTGACAAACCTGAGAGAAACAAGAAATGGGGAAAGGATTCCCTATTTAATAAATGGTGCTGGGAAAACTGGCTAGCCATAAGTAGAAAGCTGAAACTGGATCCTTTCCTTACTCCTTATACGAAAATTAATTCAAGATGGATTAGAGACTTAAATGTTAGATCTAATACCATAAAAATCCTAGAGGAAAACCTAGGTAGTACCATTCAGGACATAGGCATGGGCAAAGACTTCATGTCTAAAACACCAAAAGCAACGGCAACAAAAGCCAAAATTGACAAATGGGATCTCATCAAACTAAAGAGCTTCTGCACAGCAAAAGAAACTACCATCAGAGTGAGCAGGCAACCTACAGAATGGGAGAAAATTTTTGCAATCTACTCATCTGACAAAGGGCTAATATCCAGAACCTACAAAGAACTCAAACAAATTTACAAGAAAAAAACAAACAACCCCATCCAAAAGTGGGCAAAGGATATGAACAGACATTTCTCAAAAGAAGACATTCATACAGCCAACAGACACATGAAAAAATGCTCATCATCACTGGCCATCAGAGAAATGCAAATCAAAACCACAATGAGATACCATCTCACACCAGTTAGAATGGCGATCATTAAAAAGTCAGGAAACAACAGGTGCTGGAGAGGATGTGGAGAAATAGGAACACTTTTACACTGTTGGTGGGATTGTAAACTAGTTCAACCATTATGGAAAACAGTATGGCGATTCCTCAAGGATCTAGAACTAGATGTACCATATGACCCAGCCATCCCATTACTGGGTATATACCCAAAGGATTATAAATTATGCTGCTATAAGGACACATGCACACGTATGTTTATTGCAGCACTATTCACAATAGCAAAGACTTGGAATCAACCCAAATGTCCATCAGTGACAGATTGGATTAAGAAAATGTGGCACATATACACCATGGAATACTATGCAGCCATAAAAAAGGATGAGTTTGTGTCCTTTGTAGGGACATGGATGCAGCTGGAAACCATCATTCTTAGCAAACTATCACAAGAACAGAAAACCAAACACCGCATGTTCTCACTCGTAGGTGGGAACTGAACAATGAGATCACTTGGACTCGGGAAGGGGAACATCACACACCGGGGCCTATCATGGGGAGGGGGGAGGGGGGAGGGATTGCATTGGGAGTTATACCTGATGTAAATGACGAGTTGATGGGTGCAGCACACCAACATGGCACAAGTATACATATGTAGCAAACCTGCACGTTGTGCACATGTACCCTACAACTTGAAGTTTAATAATAATAAATAAATTTAAAAAAAAAAAAAAGAGAGGTTTATATGCTTGTACTGTTAAAAATCATTTCATAGATTATGGAATACTATGCAAATCTTAGTATTAATACTTGAAACAATTGATCACAAAGAGACACGCCAATTCAGAGGGAAGAGACATGAATGGAGAAAAAGCACATGAGGCAGTGATGGGCAATGGGAGTTCTAACTGGGAGGCCACGGGAAGCATTACTGGGCCTAGAGAAGCAGTACTGGGCATACTTGATGATACAGGCAGGAAGAAAAGTTGCAAGGGCTTAGCTTCTGTTTTCAGGCTTCTGTTCCATTTTTCTTTGAAAAAGTGAATAACACCATCTTACAGTGTGTTTATTTTGATGAATCTTTCAACAGAGTAAGCATTGTGTTTAAATGAGTTATCATTTTCCATTTCATGCCAACACGAATCGTATACTGAATTACATGAGATGATGATGACTGCAGATCTACTTTCTGTTAGGTCCCTGCAGGAAAGAGGCCAGCACCACTAACTTCAAGTCAGCAGCATGACAGAACAGAAACCACATTGAATTAGGTAGGAGTCAGACTTCCCTTCTTTAAGTCTTTCTCCCTTTTTGGGAAAAATTATATATATGAGGTTCGTATGTATATGTGCGTGTGTGTGTGTGTGTGTGTGTGTACACATGCATATGCCTGTGTGTGAGGCTTGAACAGTTCATATATATTATGTATCATATATTATATATTACATTATATATCATATATTATATGTAATACAATATTATATATAACACAATATTTTATACACACACACACACACACACACACACATATATGTGTGAACCTCAGCTTTCCTTCCCACAAAACCAGAGGTTTGAAATTAAATTGTTACATTTCTTCCGGCTTTATAATTTTGATTCTCAAGAAAGAAAAAGGGGATATCAGAGTGTATGCATCACCCTAGCAGGGAAGACTTATTTTTTTGATCGTAAATCCTTATTGTGTGGTGAGAATACAAAATCACACAGATGTCAAAGAAATGAGAAATGCTCAAAAGGGCAGTGGGGCACTCTAAGAAGAAGTGAGTGCTCCTTCCTCATGCAGATGGCAGAATGGCATACACAGGATACACTCTAAAGTGCACTGCAGATGCCAACAATCCTCCTAAACCTTCCCCAACACTCTGTGCCCCAACACCCTCCAAGCCTGACACACATGCATATGCATGTGTACGCACACACACACACACACAGCCACCTATGAAGAACTGAGAGACATTCTGGAAAGGAACCAAAGCAAATTCTTCAGGAGCCTAGAAAAAGACTAGACTAATTATTTGCTAGTCCTATTGTCAGGCTGTCTGACATTAGCCAAGTTTCATATAGTTTCAAGTTTCAGGTCAAAACATTTACATAAGAGTATCCCTGATGTTTAACAGTGGTTTTTCTTGTTATAAAACTCTCAAAATATTGACCTCCTTGGAAACATTTCTTCTTACACTCCATTGCATTTTATAAATGTCTCTTCTTTGGTTTCTTGAGCTGCCATTAAGTACACCCTTGCTTCCCCACCAACCCCACCATGAGACTATAAACTCTTTTAGATCTATTTCTCATTCTCTGTTGTGGTGACATCATTACTATTTGTAGAGAAAATGATTATTATGTCTCCAAGGATCCAATCCCATACATAATCCATTAAAATGAAATGAGTTGTCCCCATGAAAAGATGCAGAATTCAAACTTCTAAAAAATAAAAAAAAGTTTGTCTTGAAAAGACAAATAAGCAGCAGAAAGAGTTGAACTATGAGATAACCACACAGGTTGAAACAACACACACACACAAGGGTTGGGTTGCTATTGTTGCAATTATTTGAAGCAATGTGCCCACCCTTTAATTCATACAATCAAATTTTCAAGACAGAGGTAGAGCAGTCCCAATATTGAGAGTTAAAAATCATTGCAACTCTAATTTACTAAAAACAAAACTGAGGCACACATAATTAAAGACATTTTATATAGGCATCAAGAATTGCATTAATGAGTAGTGGTATAAAAGTAACTAAAATATCTTCACTGTTCCCAAGGAATGCCAGCCAGTTTTTAGTGACCTAGTTAGTAACAAAGCTTGACTTTGACATCTGTAAGACCAGTGCCCAGTAGAATTCCAGGAACATAGAAGTAACACAATAAGTGTTCGTGCAATGAATCTACCACATCACATTATTTCCTTAGTCATATTTTTGTGTGTTTATTTTTCCCTAGTGGACAAGCTCCTCATTGAAAAAGGATAATTGTAAACATGTATCATTAAGTGTATAGTTTATCTATTTTTACATCTGCAATGACATATTATGTATATTGATACCATTATTCCATTTTTGTTTACTTTTTAGATTATTTACCAAGTAAAACCTCTAACTCATGCCTCATCTTCTCTTTTACGTAAATCATTCAAATATATAAAATTTTACTTCTGTCATCTTCAAGATCATTTGAAAAATACTAATTCAAGAAAAGTCATCAAAAAAAGTAGAACTAGAAAATCTTTTTCAGAATGAAGAGATTATTTAAGCCAATGAATTTGAGTATAAAACTCTTATCATTTTTATAAATATGAATTCACTGCAACTTCATAATAATAACCACGTAACAACAGTATGCTTGACTTCATTCACCATTCTCTCAAATTTAAGCCAATGTCAAAGATAGTCAACCTACGAAAACTGAAATTTAAATCTTTGAAAAAGTCTTTACAGGCTTTTTTCTATATCTTTGTAATAGGTCTAGACAAAAAATCCAATTTTCATTTTGAAGGATGATTTTCATTTCTTGTTTTTTCACATTTTCCCACTACAATTATTAAGTGGCTAGGTCAAAGGTAGTCGAGCACTACACTGTAACATGACTTACCTATAGTTTTGCTTTTCATTTCCTATGTGGAATCTGTCATACTGTGAGTAGGCTCGGTTCCCTTCCCAGTCCATTAACTCAATTCTTAGCATGTACTGCCTCTGACTGGTAATGGCAAAAATAAACTCATTCCCCAGCCAATATTCACCGGAGGGATTTCCAAAACCCTGGGAAACAATATAGAGATGCAGTTGTTACTTTAGAGAGGAATTCTTTTAATGTTCAGCATTTAACTATTTTCTAAATAATAATTAAAAATTATTAAAAAGTAAAGGTTTTTTGTGTTTTACATTTTACACTTTTTTCTCCAATGATTGACATTTCAAGAATTCTCTTGTTTCTTTTCATCAAAGCTTCTGTCCAATTCTTACTTAATACAATAAAACCTCTGTTATTCAAATCTGTATGGATGAGATATTTTGTATAAAATAAATTTAGTTAATAGGTTTAACGGGAAAACAATTCTCAATTCAAGTTTTGCTTTTGAAAATGTTTCTAAACTACTAGTTAACAAAATATTTTGAATAGAGTTTAAAGATTTTTCAATGAACACTATAAGGGTGATATTAGACAAGTTATTTAACAATATTATTTTTACTATTATTATTCACAAATGCAATTATGTTTCAACAATAACTTCATATTTAGGTTGGTGCAAAAGTAATTGCAGTTTTTGCCATTACTTTCAATGGTTAAAACCACAGTTACTTTTGCACCAAACTAATAGATTACTAGAATCATGACTTTTGGAGCTTTAACTTTCTTATTATTAAATATTAATAAGCAACCCTGTAAACCCATGACTGTAATCATTTACAAAGCTGCACTGGCATTGGAATTTTGAGGCAGAATGCTGATTTGTAAGCGCTCCTGAGTGAACCTAGCTGACTACTTGGCTTCTAAATGTCAACATGAGTCTATTGTTCTCTTTGGGTGAAGTCAAGGTTGTTAAGTATTCAAAATAGTTCTTTGTAGGGAGAAAAAAGTGGTCTCAAAAGAAAGCCAATGCTTAATGTTGGATCTGTTAGTCATAGGAAAAGAAAGAACTAGAAACTTGCTGGCATTCTAGATTTGGGGTATTCACAATTGCCCCAGAAAATACTCATTGGCAATGCTTGAAGTTCCATGTAATTCTTGATCTACATATTTGTTTCACTGGCTGTGTTGTGAGCTCCCTGATGATAGAAGCTGTGTTGTATTTGTGAATTTCCAAAAGCCAGTGAAGAGCTGACATGCACTGAGCATTCCAGTAGGGTTCTTTTGAAAGTCAAAGAAAAAGGTAGAAAGAAAAGAATAGATGAAAGAAGCAAGAAAGGGAGGGGAAACGGAGGTAAGGAGGAAGGAAAACAAAATATTATAGCATTTTGCAATAACACATGGAAAAGTAATCTTAAAGCACAATTCTTGTAGACAATACAGTTGAGTCTTGAGGAAATGTTTCTTAAAGTGTCCAAACTTGTGCACTACCTCTTCCGCCAACCGAGTTACTTACCAAAGTTCAAAGGTATTTGGTACCAAACCCATTTATGCCAGTTCAGTTATTGCAATATTTATAAAATGTTATGCAAATAAGTTAAATATTAGTGAGAAATGAGAGTTTTAATTTTTTATAAATATCCAGATTTGCTCAATAAAAGCAAATTACTGAAACTTTTTTTTGAATTAGGAATTGTTGAAACTCTCAAAGACTGGGAAAAATATAAAAAATTTAAAGAATTTTTAACATATTGCCTTGCATGTGTCTTTGTGTACTGTTCTATTTTTAAAAAACTGAAACTAGAGATTGGATGCATTCTACTACTGGAAAGTTTTAGGAAAGAACTGATGACACAGAATTCCAGACTTTGGCCCTCGTTTTACTTTTTTTATTAATGGGTAAGTGATGTATATAGTTATATTTAAAGTTAAAATTAACATATGTGTACACGTATTATTCCCGAATTTACCTAAGTTTTTTGATAGGCTGAATATGCTTGGTACAGATTGCATTGAGTATATACTCTTCTGAAGACCATCTACCCATAGCTCACAGAAAAGATATAAGACCCACTGAAGTTAGTACTCCGTTGGCTCTTTGCTTCTCTGTTCCTAAGATGCTCAAGTCACACTTTGTAAAAGTTTCACAGTGGCAAGAAATATTAGAGCAATTTCTGGTGTGCTAAGAATTTTACACATTTTTATGGCAGCCAATGCCACCTACTAAGGAGAAGAGCAAAGCTTATCTTCTCCAAAGCATAAACAAAACAGAAAGTTACAGGAGGCTGAAAGTCAAAGAATGACCACTTTTTCAATTGCAACAGCCCCTGGGAAGAAAAAGAAGGCCACTGGGATTTTCCTTGCATTTTTTTGCAGCTCAGACATGTCAAAACTCTCCCTCTAGCCACTTGATGATTCCCTTTTCTGTGCAGTCATTGAAAAGGGATTCAACAATTATACTCAATGTGAATAAAGAGGCTGGGAATGATGAAGTTTTAAGTTTTGGGTCACATATTTCCATGCTGTTGAAAGCGTTGTGTGGATAAAACTCTCCAGCTTCCCCAGGGAAACATGCAGTGATTCTGGGTGAGCCTTAGAAATGGACAAGGATTAGCATCATTCGTAGGAGAGCCTCCATCCCTGTCTCCACGTGCAGGCCTGTGGTTCCCTCTAAATGGAAATAAATATGCCTTCCTAAACAGTTGTTTGCATTTTTGTCTTTCAGGAAGAAGCGACTAAAAAGAAAGCAGTATAATTTGCATTTAGAAACTAACATTTGCTTCGAGCCTCTTCCCAAAAAACTGTCCAAGCATGCTCTATTATGAGAGCAAAATGTTTGAGTACAATGAATCAAAATGGCTGCAGTATAGGGAGGAAACCTTCTAATAGCCAAGTGCAGTGATCCAGACACAGCTGTTTCATCATCAAGATGAAAAATACGTGAAAGAAGGGAAATCGTGTTCCCACATTAATAAACTGTCTTTTGGAGAGTTTATCAGGCACGGCCACAGATCTGATATGTAGGACAAAGGCTTGGTTTGGATGAAATAACTTCTACCCCTTATCTCTGGCTCCAGATTAAAGCCTTGATCTGCCACATATTTGCTGTAGAACTATCGACTTTGTTTCTGAGCCTCAGTTTTTCTGTCTGCAAAACAGGGATTACAGACATCATTTTCATATACAAGGTTTTGAGAATAAAATTGAAAATACACCTGAAGCACTTAACCAAGTACTGATACACAGAAAGCACTTAAAAATCTAGCTGTCGTTATAGTTAAAATATATGTCACAATATATAGTAATTTTCTTGTTAGTTTCTTCTCTTCCATGAGACTGTAGTCATATGCAGGGAAGCAAGTTCCTTTCTACTTTGTATAAGAATAGGAAAAAGAATAATCTAGGGTCTTCTCTTAGCCTAAAAATTAATAAAGGGATACTGAAATAATTATTTAAAAGCCTCTCAGAGGACTAATGTATTATTATACTAAATTGAGAGTTGGTTTATACAAGTCAGTATTGTCATTTTAATCTAAAAAGTTAATTATTAAATAAGAAATTACAACCAACTGATTGTAATTGGGACTAAACTATAGTACTAATGAAAGCACAGACTACTTTCTTATTCTTACCTTTGCTTCCAGGTACTAAAGTATCTGTTTCCTTCAACTCTCCCTTAGTGCTATCTCTTTCAATCCCTCTCTTTCCATATCTCATGAGTTTTAGGAGCCACAAAAGAGGTAATTTTTAAGGTCTTATACCATGCTAATAAGTTAATAGTTGTGATAATTGCTTTCAACCAGGAATGCATATCAGAAACAGCTGTGGGGCTTTTAAAAAAATATAGATGGTTAGGCCCCCCATGAAGATTCTGATTCACTATGTCTGGGACGGACTCAAAGAGCTATACATGTAAAAGGTTGCACATGTTAGTCTGCTATGAACTGAAGGTAGAGATCCACATAAATGTGATTGGAATAGATATTCCAAGTGCAAACTAAAAAGAATATATTAATCAAATCAAAATATTTGTGAGGTACACAGGAAAAATGCAGGAGTAAAACGCCATCTTTATACTGAGGTCCCTATGGGGAGGAAAGTTTTGATTATGTGTCTGGGACTGTCCTTCAAAAATTCATGTTCTTGCCTAAAAGACAGAGTCAGCCAATACCTATGCTCCAAAATAGGCTTACATATTATGGCATATAACAGTTTACCGCAGGTCTTTATTTTACCCCAAATAGCCTGTAGCTTCCATAAAAATAAAAATGAGGAGATCGAGACCATCCTGGCTAACACAGTGAAACCCCGTCTCTATTTAAAAAACTACAGTAAATTAGCTGGACGCAGTGGCGGGCGTCGGTAGTCCCAGCTACTCAGGAGGCTGAGGCAGGAGAATGGCGTGAACCCGGGAGGCGGAGGTTGCAGTGAGTGGAGATCGTGCCACTGCACTCCAGCACTCCAGCCTGGGCGACAGAGCAAGACTCCGTCTCAAAATTAATTAATTAATTAATTAATTAAATAAAAATAAAAATGAAAATATATACGAAATTCTGTGCTGATATTGAAAAAGCAGCAATGAATGAGTAAACATTACACTACAATTTCCTCTTTTTCATGAATAAAATCTAAGGATACTATGTCATGTACTTTGGTGAAAACGATGTTTAATGATGTCAATCACAATCAGCTGAAAGGTTTTGATTCAGTAACTCAGATACATTGTTAATTGATTTTATTTCTTCTCTAGCTCTCTAATAAAGGGATAAAAAGACACTGAAATTTAATCTGAACTAATGCTGACTTAAAATTGGCCTTAAAAAGCACATCTTACTCAAAAAACACATGCAAAGGGAAGATCAACATTTGTTAGTTTTTGCGAAAACCTGCAGAAATGTTCAATTTCGGTTTGTGCTTTTCCAAGTTAATAAAATAATTGTCTCTGATACGTTATTTGTTTTGTCTGATAATGCTCACAGGAAGCGTTGACTTTTTATAGATGAAGTAAAATTGAAACCAGACACAGTCCATGTATTCCATGGGATTCATCTTTTTTCATACAAATCATTTAAAAAAAAAAAAAACAGATAAGACAGAGCTGTGGCTTTCAGGGCACTTTCAAATGCAGTTGAATGGTATATCTCCTCTAAATGCTGAGACACGCAACCCAGGAAAGACTGAAACAAATTTTGAATTTCAAAATTTTTAATTTCTTATGCATTTTTTCTCTTTTTAATGTGAAGATGTTAAAATATAGTAGAAAATGTGCTCTCAACTTCTTTCCAGAAACAAAGAACTCCCAGAAGGAATGGTGCTCACACTGAAATTTTTGAGTGGATAGGAAGTTCTGTTTATGGGGGTAATTGCTCTCAAAATAAAGCAAGTTTGTCTCCAGGGCATCAGTCACTGCCTACTACAGTATAAAATTAGGCCATTTAGGGTACTGTTTGGAACTCGTAACTTCATTGCGCTTTATATGTGAAAGTACTGCTGATAAGTGTTATTGCTGGAGGCCGCTAAAGGGTATCCTTATGACTTGAAAGAACTAATATCTTCTCTAAGTGCCTCATTAAAAAGCCCACTCCAGACTTTCCTTTCAGGCAAACATCTTTACAAATCCATAAACCAGATTTTGCTGAATCTCCTCATGAAGAAGGTTAAGTGAAAGCTAAGCTTAGGTAAGAGACTTGTAGGCTTAAAGCCAATGCCAACAATCCAAAAATTGGTAAACCTTTCATATTGACAGAGGTTTAAAAATAATGATAATATATAATATATATTTGTAATTACATGTGATGGGAATCTTACGAAGCAAGAGGCAGCCCATAGATATCAATCAGTATGAAGGGAAGAAAGGAGAGAGGAAAGGCAGAAAAGAAAGAGAGAGAAAACTTGATTTCTGCACTCATTGCCCACGGAAGAAATGTAGCATCCTACTGTATATAATAGTAGAATGGTAAAGACTGGAGAAGAGTTGGGGTATGCCAAGTTCTTGTTATCCCGAAGGTTGTACACCCTTAGCTGAAGAAGTCAGCCGGCAGTTCTTTGGATGCAGGAAATAGAAGTAGGTGTGATTGATAAGAACTGGCATAAGGAGTCTATATCCATTCCTGGTGGAGTCATGTTATTTTGTCTTTAGGTGAAAGAAAAACTAGATAAAGAACCAAAACACTTTCTACCATGTGTTTTAACTATCTTGTAACATATGATGAATATTTTCAATAAAAAAAAAATTCTTCAGCCTCATTTTTAGCTAGAATGTTTCAAAATGTTGGAGCTTATCTCATTTTTTGATCATGCAAAATTGACATTCATCTGATAAATGTTTCAAGTTTGAATAAAGCATGATAGTCTTTCTTGTTTTAAAAAAGGGAGGAGGGGTAAACTCCATAAAACATGATGAGTAAAGAATTTCAGTTTTGTTCCAATAATGAAAAAAGAATTGCTTAGAAATAGATATATTTGGTAAATACTTACAAGACATGAATTGATTCCATACTTAACAAGTCAGTATCTCTTACTTAACATGCCTAGCTTGCCAAGGCAGCAGATGTTTACAGTTAAGAATTCACCATTTTGGAAAGTCACCATGATGACAACTTTATATTTATTTTTCTGTTATCATTAATTTTAATAACAATGTATTTCAGATTAGCCTGAGTCTCTATCTATAGTCTGATTTTCAGATGACTTCTTCACATCACATTTTAGTGGTGAAAATAATCATGAATTAAGATGGTTTGCAAAACAGTATTTTTGGCATAGTTAAGTGAAATTTTTGGTGTCTTTGATGTTTTCAACTTGGATCATAAAAACAACTACTGTTCACTGAAAATTCAGTGTGCCAAAGTGCTTTACTTACATTATTTCTAATCCTTGAAACATCCCTGTGAGGCAGGTGAGGTATCATTGTCCTATTTTAACAAGTTAGTTAGAAAGCTAAGGTGCGGGTTAGGTGATTTGTCAAAAATCACTCCTCTTGTAAATGGTAGAGTGATTTTTTTTCTTTTTTTTTTTTTCAGACAGTCTTGCTCTGTCACTAGGCTGGAGTACAGTGTCGTGATCTCAGCTCACTGCAACCTTCGCCTCCCAGGTTCAAGTGATTCCTCTGCCTCAGCCTCCCAAGTAGCTGGGAGGCATGCACCACCACACCTGGCTAATTTTTTGTTATTTTAGTAGACATAGGGTTTCGCCATATTGGCCAAGATGGTCTCGATCTTGTGACCTACTGATCCACCCACCTGGGCCTCCCAAAGTGCTGGGATTACAGGTTTGAGCTACTGTGCCTGGCCTGTAACTGTTAATATAAACATAATTCAAAGTCTGTTTTTTCGAATATAGGTAATCTTTTATCCCTCATATATTTCTAGAATCACCTAGGCAGGAAGAGGCCTTCAGATATGACCTAACATTCCAATTCTCCATAGCAATTCCAAAAGATAATAATCTACCTTCTATTTCCACTGAAGATGGGGAAGGCTTGCCACTTAATAGGCAGTCCATTTGGTATTGGGATTAATCATTGGAGAGTTTTGTTCAAACTTGGTCAAATTTTGCCTTCTTGGAATTTTACTCGATTCATTATTGCACTGTCCTCTCAGGCATTGTTCAAATGCACATTCTAATTCGGGAAATCTGGGCCAGAGCTTGAGATTCGTGTTTCCATTAAGTTTCCAGAGGATGCTAATACTGCTGGTCCCTGGACCACATCTTGAGAAGCAGGCTCTAGTACCATCTACCTCCATCCAGTTAACTAAAATAGCTATCAGGTTTATGCCTAATTCTTTTTTTCTCCAGGTATTTACCTGTTACAGATGTAATTTCCAAATTCCTCCCATCCTGCTTATAACCCCTAGGATAAGTTAACTTGTTTGAAAACCTCTAGAATTGAAACTATATTTTTGATGTAACCAGATCATGGCAGACACCAGTGAGTTCTGCATTTTATGTGATCCCCTAAACTACTAGTAATGTACACTGAGTACATTAATTTTTGTTAAATCAAAATGAGCTTAGAACCAAATAAACCTCTTTCAAATACTAAGTCCTTAACGCAATTTGTCACTCTTACCCTGTTTTCTCACAGTTAATTTAGGTATTTTTTATCTAGGTGAAATAGTCTACAATCATCTCTGTGGAATTATATCTTGCTGGCTTCAGCCTACCTTTCCATCTTGAGTTTATGATATAACAAAGACATCAGGATTCCAACTTTGTGTAAGTCCAAACCTTTTAAACGTGCTTTCAGACTGTTCAACTGAGTATCTGATAAAAATGCAAAAGCAGTGATACCACTAGAAACCTCCATTCATTTATTCAAACCCCTTATTTACTGTCATTTGATCAACTATGAGCCTATTAATGGGCAAACTCTGAGGCAAATCAACCATAGTTTTTACAAACTGTCTACAAGAATATCAAGACAGAACCGAGGCTAGTATAGCATTTCTTTCTCTCTACCTGTTGAGAGAAAATTTGTCAAAAAATCAAGACACAAATTATCTAGAGGTTTCAGCTGCAAAAGAATGAGAATCCATAAATATAGATTCTCCCACATTACTATGCCTTTACATTCTGTCAGCAGATTTTAATTTTTAATATTATAGGCACCCACTACGTGATTGCTGGATTTTAGATTATTTCAACCCTTGCTCACCTCTGTTTCCTTTTAAAATGGGCATAGTGTTAGCTAATAGTGCTGATATTATAAATTAGATAAGAAATTACATATAGGGCTGGCATGTTGAGCATTAAAAAAGAGATGAGCTGTGATGATGATGATAATGATGATGATGATGATGATGATGCCTACTGTTATTTTGCAGACCCCAGTGAACCATGGCTCACAGTTCATACCTTTGTGTACTCCTCGTGCCTTAAATCTGGACTTTTCCTGTGACCAACAACAACCAACAGAATGCAATGGAAGTAACACTGTTTCATTCCCGGGTCTAATAAAACTAAAAAAGGCTGAAAGCTTCTGCTTTGTCTTTGTAGGATGACAAGTGCTACGTAAGAAGTCTGATAACCCTGGATCACTTTACTGAAAGAAGTTTAGCCTAGCCACATGGAAAGGTCACATGGAGAAGCTTCCAGTCAACAGCCAGCAACAATTAGCCAGTTATGTGTGTGAGGCTATTGCTATTACCCATCCTGTTCCACAACCTGCAACCCTGCACAGCTCCCTTGGTCAGACTCACGTATCCAGCGAAGGTCTGAGTTCTAGCTTCCCCCACCCTCATTCAACTAGGAACAAGTGCAAACAATACACAACCATTCACCAAATAATTTCAGTAATACGTTTTTCTTTCTGATGCACATGTGGAAATCATTTACTGAAAATGATTTATGAGTGTTTTGTGTCTAATGAAAATAATAACACTAATGTATCATTTTATTTCAAAAATAACTCAGAACCACCTAAAAATACAAAGATTCATCAAAGAGTATGGAGAAGATAACTTCAAGATAAAACCGCAAAAGGCACTGTAAATTCTTCCATCTTACCATTTTATATTCTTTCCAGCCTCTTTGGAAATCTAGACTTCCATCTTCACGATGCTGTATTACAGTCCAGCCTCCCCCATTGACATCCATATTGCAAAATACCTGACAAATGGAAAACAAAGTCAAGTAAGAAATACTTCTACTTTAAAAACATATATCGTACATGTTTCAAAATAGGAATAAGGTGAACAGGTCTGTAGATTACAAAAACTAAAATTACTATATTGAACAATGTTAAGTTAGATATATTATTGGTTATTTCTTCCTATGATTCATATTTGAATTATTTCTGATTAAATTCCATCAATGATGAATAAATTACTTGCACAAATTTTAGTCAGCTGAAAATTAAGTCTTTGTCTCAGACTATAAAACATTTAAAAAATATCTTTGTTTTAAATGAAAATAAGCATTTGAGCATGTTCAAAGTTTTAGAAATGCTACCAAATTTCCAAAGTTACAGACCATTTGATTGCCAAAACACACAACTCAGAATTTTAAAACTTCAAATTGATTGAAATGGGTGTACAATAGAATAAAAAAAAATTGTTAAAATATCATGTCTTTAACTATCATATATTTCATTGCCTATCAATTCTTATATATGTACATGTTACAATAGTTATCCTTGATGAGTCAATATTTCATTAGAGGCAACATTTGTGGCATAACATGTGGAGAATGTATTATTTGCTTGTATTTTAGTCATGAACAATAACAGGAGAACATGACATACTGTATCTCTTCTGACTGTGACAAGAATTTCTTGCCCATGTGGAAAATTTATACAAATCTTTCAAAGACTTATGCTTATTTTAATTATTCAAAATACAATGGTATTTATTTAGAAATTGACTCATTTCCCCCAGAGTCTACCCAAGAAGAGAAACATATCTGTAATGGGATTATCTTCAGACAGCAATCACTGTAATTGATGTAGCATGAATGTGGCAGCTTGATTATTCAACGGGGACTATTCCTCAACAACTGAATACTAAAGCATGTTGAAGGCTGGCTAAAGATGGGATATGATGTAACAACAGCAAGCAGGCTATGAAGACACAGAGCTAAGCTCTGATTAAAGGAAAAACCTCAAGTGTTTTCCCTGAAGCATTGCATTTGGAACACAAGTAGCAAAAAGGGTATAAAAGCAGTGGCAAGACACGTCATTCAAAGAACAAATTGTCCATGTACTTCCTCAGAGTGAAAGGGTCTAAGATATACATGCCTACTTGTGGGCATATGAAATAGGACAACTCTCCTCCCAAGGCTCTCCCCCTACTTTGACAACAGCCACACATACAGTATGTCTTCATTAACCCCAGGAATTGACTCACCTCCAAGACTATACATTTGAAATTTTGATTCCTGTCCCAGTCGTCCCCACCACAACTAATCCTTTAACTTCTGTGCCTGCTCTTAGTCCTCAACATAATCTCTAGCTACACTTTTATCTTCTGTAATTCTAATTAACTTATTCATTTATTTTTTGTTTTACTCAACAACCATTCTTGGGCATCAGTTTTCACTTACAGCTGGGGGTATTATTATAAATAAAATATGGGTCAGTTATCAAACCTCTCAAAGTTTCAATAGTGACTGATCTCACAGGATTAAAGAGACAGAGTTCAGAGTTTTCAGCTCTAATAGGCCAAAAAATCATGGAGACAATAATCTAAATGAGAAATTTAAGAAAGAAAACACGAGCAAAGGAAATGATCATAGTTTTGGACATCTCAAAGGCTAGCAAAGAAAGTGATCGTAGTTTTGGACACCTTAGCCTTTGAGGTAGCATAGATATCCAAAGAAAAAAGTTTATTGAGCTGTTCGAGATGATCTAGACCAAGGATAAAAATATGGATAAGAGCATAAGGAAGTAAGAAAGGAATTGCTATTAACAATGACATGATTGTTAAGGACCATATAATATAAACACCTTACATGCATTTTCTAACTTATTCTCATGATAGTCCTATGTAGGAAGTAGGTATGATGATCATCTCCATTTTACAGATGAAAAAATACTGAGGTTTAGAGTAGTTCAGTAACTTACCAGTGATTATATTCAACAATAAGCTCTGGATCTGGGATTTAAAATTGATTTGAACTGGATTCGGAATTGAACCCTATGTCTACCTAATTGAAAATTATTGGAAATAATCTGCTTAAAACCATTTGTTAATAGCATGAAGACAAATGCAATTACTTAAAGAAGTAAAGAAAAAGTTGGAAATAGTTGTGTGTGGCAGAGAGTGAGAAGGGTCAAAGAATGGGCTTTGGTGAACACCTGAGAAAGATAGAATACATCAGAAAACTTTAGATGGGCGGGGATTTCTTTCAACTTACTGCTGTCCCCAGTACCTAGAGGTGTGCCTATCCTGTAGTGGGTACTGAATGAATATTTGATAAACAAATAGAGATGGAAGAGGAGAGATAAAATAGGAAAATTTGATTAATGGAATGCTAAGAAAGAGATGGATTTAGAGTTGGGGAAGTGATCATCAAAGGTTTCAGAAAAGTCAAGATAAAAAATGATTAATAAAATATAACTTCAATTTGAATGAAGGAGCCTTTAGTGACCTTGGTGAGAGAGAATGTGGATTCCTGTGGGAACAAAATCAGATGGCATAGTTTCAAGAGGGCACAGGTGGTAATTCAAGAGAAGCGGTCAAAGTGGAGCTTTACTGGTGAAATTTAAATGAGAAAAAAAGGGAAGTGAAAATATCAAGGAAATATTTTGCTAGAAGCAACTAATCTCACCATTTTCTCAATTAAATTTGATCGTGCCCTGACTTGTTAATCCAGAATGAATGTTTTTATTCAAATTTTTATTTCCTAATGGACATTGATTGCCTGAAAGTTTGCCAAGTTGTATTTGCAAATCTGTGAAGTCCACTTATATACTCAGGGAAAAGAATCACTACATTTATAAATGTAGAGTACAGAGAGGACACTATACTGTACAGGTTTTTAAATTACTGTTACCTAGATTATTAAAATTCTATGCACTTAGTTTTTAAATCACTCACAAATTTTTTAAAAGACAACTTTCCTTCTAAACAGAGGAATCCAGTGACTTGTAAATGTTCAGATGTGCTGAGAATGCTTCTTAAATAAAGAGCTAGAGAAAAAAACCATTGGGAAATATAAATTACCCAGGCAGATTACTAAGTTGGAAGCTGAGGGGCAGAGAGGTTAAAGGGTTGAACATATGCTTCCCAGTTCTTATGAAGACTTAACAACATCAATGATAACAACTGCTCTTTGTGTTATATAGAAACAATGGAGCTGAATAACACCTTGGTTAACAGCGCCAACTTGAGTGCTATGTTGCCTGGATTCAAAATCCACCTCTGCTCTCTCTACGTATCTCTTAGATATTTTCTGATAATTTGATGAGTTAATGTATATAGAATTTTTAGAATAGCATTTGGCATTAATAGGTGTTGACGCTACTCCCATCTCTTACATATATTACTGATGACATAATATATACTTATGCTATGCATTATACACTGTATGTATATAATGTAATATTTAATATGTATATGATATTTAAATTTAATATACTATAGTTATATAACATTGCATAGAAATTTTATAATTTATTATAAATAATAGAAAATATACAAAACCAAACATGTAGAAGTTCAATAAATTATCCTTATAATTGTGATTTCTAGGCTCTATTTATTATAATATTGGCATCACTAATCTTTGAGCATGTCGCCTTTCTATATGTATTATGTATACATATATATATACACACACACACATACACACATATATGTATATTTAAGAGGTTGGACTCACTCTAGCAAAGACAAAACAAAAGCCTATTATTTTTAGTCAGAAAAAAAATGCCCTATGCTTAAGAGATGAAGGAAATTCAAAAAAATACATGGTAGATTTTAGAAAGATTTGAGACATGAAAGACTTGAAAAGTTCATTTGCCAGTATTGTGTGGTCTGTGCTATCTGGCAGTGTCCTTCCTGTGAACAAGGCCCTGCTACATAAACTATGGCTATTGCATTTATCGATCATATAACTTGAGCTTAACTCTATCCAAGAAATGACTGAACTGGCTTCTATCCCAGGCAAGGTCAAAGCTTTCAAGCATTAAACACTTTTTAACATAATACGGAGGCTTAAACCCAAACAAAACGGGGAAATTTGATTCACGTAGTTTTTACACTTTTATGTTCCATAGAGGTTGGAATGATTAGACTTGTGAATGTTAATTATTTTTCCATACCATAAATGAAAAGGGCTTAACCCATTTGTTATAGTACTTTTCCAAGAATTAGGGGAATTGTGAGTTCAGAATCAAATTTTTAATATTTTACAATAAGCAGAGTAATCATTAAATGGTTTGTTTTTTGGATAAAACTAGGCGTTTGGTTTTGGAAACATAAAAGGAAAGGAAAAGTTGTGTTTCCTACTACTATACATTGAAGGGAATTCAGAAAGAAAAGTAAATATAAGACATTAATAATATAAAAGCAAAAGGTAAATATAGAAATGACCAAAATCTAATTTTCTTTCTGCTTGAAAAATTAAATAGTCCTACAAAACCGTCTTTGGCTTCCACATTTGAAAAGATAACATTTCTCTAATTTTCAAAGACTTTTTTTTTTGGTATGGAACAATGTCAACTGAAAAAATTACTGTATTACAATCCTGTTATACTTGCAACTCTCACACTGACTACAAGATGAATAGTGTCTGTTCATTGTTTTGTCACTTTCCTTTAATAACCCTAGTTTATTTATTGGTCTATACCATGCATATTTGATGCTTCCGTTTTTGTGTGGGTTGCCTTGAGATTCTTACCCTTGCCAAAACTTCTGGAAACATCATAATGAGCAATGCTTTGGCTAAGCATATGCAGGGGTAGCACCAACCTTCCTATTTACAATGTACCGTCTACATGGAATGGTGAAAGTCCTAAAGATGAATTTTGCTAGCACTTTTTATAGGATTGAGAGAATGCTGACAATTTATTTCAAGATGGAAGAAACTGAGATTATAGGACGGTGAGAATGAGGTAGGTTATAGTGAGAACATGAATCAACTTACCAAATTTTCTAAATATAAACCCTTGCCTATGTAGCTCACATGTCACGCATGTGTTTACCACCCCATGGGGCAACAGGTTCATATTCAAAATTATAAATGATACAATTTCAATTTTCGTTAACATAATGATCCTGCTTAATCCTCTGATTAAAAGGGTGTATTCTAGAATTAGATTCCTTTGTTTCAAAGTCAATGTTCAATATTTGCTAAGAATTTGTTTGGGGCAGGTTATCTTTGTAAAGTAGGGATAATGGGAGTCTCTATATCATAGGGTTGTTGAAAAGAGTAAATGAAGGAGTATACATATATACACACACACATATACTAAGCATACATATACAGTAAGCATATATATAGATATTTAGATATCTATATAGCATATATAGATACATAGCTATATAGCAGATATATAGATATATACTATATAATATATCATATACATTATATCTATCTATCTATCTATATATCTATATATGCTTAGAAGAAGACTGGCAAACTGTAAATGCACAATACATTTGAGCTATTTTGTTAATCAGCTTGTAAATTGCTTTTGAGGAAATTCATACAATATTTGTTCTTACCAGTGCTATGCTATGCCATTATACTAAGGGATTAAACACTAAATTTTTTACCTGCAAAAATGTGTATGTATGTCAGTCTGAAATACCCATCTTCATTATAGAACAATGTTACTACTTGTAAGAGAATCCATGATTATAACAGGGAAATAATAAAACAAGAGAATGAGCATCTAAGTCCAGAAGAAGGCCAAAGTCTTTCTCTCTTCAGCTCAGTTATCTCCCCTTCTCACCACACTCTGTTAGTATTTCAACAAAACTAAATCTAAATCTAACAATAGTCCTGACCAGCTAATGTGGGAAGTTCTTCTCTCTGAAAAGCCATGGGGGCCATTCAGCAGTGATAAAATTTGCTCCTTGTGGGTATGTATGGGTATGTTACTGCTAACCTGTTCAGGTTATTATTTTTTTAGACTAAATATCAGAAGTTAATTCAGTAGATGCTTGACATTTGTGAATTTAATATTCTAAGTTTTATTTATTTAAGAAAACCCAAAAGCTCCATCATATTTAAAATCCATCATTATGTAGAAGCGTAAGCTTGAATCTTGCTTTCCTGATGAAACCAACCCAGGAGCCAGCCATGGAAGAAGTGAATTGGATTCACCAACTTTCTATTTTATGTAAGTATTGAAAGCAAACCTATTGAAGATTATGAATTGAGGTGGGATCTTTTTCTTCACATTACCAGGAGAAGTGGTTCTGCAAATAGCCTGTGTACCATTTGCATCTCATGTTTCAAACTAGAGTGTAGTTGTGGTTATATATGAACTAAAGTCCATAGAATGACTAAAGCTGTATTTGCACTGCACCCTTTTCCCCACGGGCCACATGGTAGTACTGGTGAGAAGTAAAAAAATATTCTAAAATTATGAATATTCTTGATCTGAAAACTTTGGGAATTATTTTTAGATTAATGTATATCATAGAATCACCATGAGTCTAAATGGAAGTTCACTTAATATTTTTAGTTAATTTTATTTTTATAGTCAGATTATAAGCTATAGTGGAACTGACAATAATTTAGAGGTTCCTTCAGGTCTTGAGTAGTACTGTAGGGAAATGATAAAGCAAATATTTTAGCTCCACCTCCTACTCCAGAACAAATTCTCACATACTTCATCTGCTATGTGTATGGTGTGTGTTTATGACGTGTGTGTGTGTGTGTGTGTGTGTGTGAGAATTGAGTTTAAGCTTAAGTGTGATTTTAGGATATCTTCCTTAGAATAAGCTATCCTCATCTCCTCATTCCCAGGCTTGCCATTGTATTTCCATTTTTCATTTGTTTGCTTGTTTAAGCCATGGGATTCAATGAAATCTTGCACAGAAATAAAAAATGAAAATCAGGCAAAACCACACTTCTCTGGTAGATGGCTGAGGTAGCAAAGTACAGAACAGTGCCTCCTGCCTTTCCTCCCTCCTGTGCCCACTCCACTCCTACATTTTACCCCATTATAGACAACATCGAAGGTATCTTTCAAGAAGAAAATTTTGTCACAGCAAAGGGGAAAAAGAAACCATTTCGAGCTAACATAAACAACGATTCATTATGGAAATCAAGAGAAAGAGAGAGGACAGTGGTAAAAGGGAAAATAGAACTGTATCAGTCCTGGACTATAGTCCAGACTTCCTGGGTTGCAGGTTAAATGGCATCTGGCAAACTGGGCTCCAAGATTCATTTCCTTTGCCTATCAAAGGAGACTAACAATCAGGAAGACTAAGCAAGTTAGACTGACTTACTATGCACTACATGGAAGTGTTGATATTGCCATCAGCGGGTCACTTATTCATTCATTTATTCCAGCACATATTTATTGAGACCTACTATGTGCCAGAAACTATGCTAGGTTCCAGGAAATCAAAGATAAAAGGCACAATCTCTGCCTTTTAGAACTCTGGTAGTGAGAAAGTCATGTAAAATTGCCTGAGGGAATCAGAGAAGATTCCAAGAGCATTGCACAGACCCCAGAGGAAATGGGGATAAGAGAAAAGTAATTTAGGTGGGGGCAAGAGGGGAAGACAGTTGTTTTATCCTGCAAAGGCACATGATCCTCTTGGGACCCTGGGCTTCCAGCTAAAATTCATAGACACTAAAGAGCAAAGCTCTTGCCTAACCTCACTCTCTTTGGCTGTCTCACCTCAAAACTTCCCACATACCATGCTTTAAATGGACCATTTATATTGCTATACTTATTGACAGTATTTTATAACTCTGAATAATTGTCTGTCTTCATCATTACACTAGAAATTGTTTGCTCTATATCTATGTTCCTGACAAATGCATGACATCCACGTAATAGTATTGAATGAAGGCATGGATGGATGATTTAATGAATAAATGGTGGAAGAGAGTATACAAAAGAGATGTCACAGCAGGAAGATGTTTGCTTACTCCAAAATTTAACTTGGGTCCTGTTCAACATACTGATGGATCCGGTCTTCCAACCCACTCTTTTAAGTAAATATGGAAAGCAAATTCTTTCAAGATTATGAAGTAAGATAGGAAATGTTTATCCTATCCTAACAGGAGCAGTAATTTGCAAATAGCTATATCTACCCCTCCCTCTCCTCTCAGTATTTGATTTTGTATTATGTGTGTTCTCTGGATTGTTGGGTCTTTGGAAGATGGCTTCTCTTTCCCATACACTCACGGTAGACATGAACTCAACATGTAATCTGTACAAGGCAAACATTTATGAGCAATGGGACATCCTATGAACACCAGGGAATAAATGCAAAATTTTGTGTGAAAGAAAAGTTATGGGGGTTGGTGATTTCTGTACAATAGGGTTTTCATCCTTTATGGACCTGGGAAACAGAGTATCTCTGGGAGAAAAAAGTTCAGGCATCTCTCTATATATTTCCAGTTTAACAAGCTCACAAATCAATCTGATTATCCAGCATTTCAACTGGGATCTGGCTTACATCTCGTAAACAAACACTTCTGGTTTTACCTTTTTGGGTTCTGGCATATTATTAATATAAATAGTGTAGATTCCACTTTTATTAAAACCAGCTTGATATACATCTGCACAGTCTCTAAATGGTTTCTCTTCCTCTCTTTTTCCTCCCTTTAGTAAAACTGCAAAAAAAAAAAAAAAAAAAAAGATTGCAATATGTGAATATCAGTACCATTAGTAGCCAAATGGACTCCAATAATAGCTAAGCATGTCTTCATTTCCTCCACACAAATGTCAGTATTGCACATAGTAAAAAATCAATCATAAAGACAATACTAGATTTTGAGGTAGCTTACAAAATTTTAAAAAAAAAACTGAAGGAAAAAACTGTAGAACCATTTCTAACTGAATGCTTATATTTTACTTAATTTCTTACTTCTTTTTTTTCTGTGTATCCTTTCCAAAACATCAGCTCAAGGAACAAATGACCTGGGCATGTAATATCTTCAATTGGTAGCAATTACCTCAAGTTTCCTGCAAAATCTCTAAAACATTCTTACCTACATTTCACAGGAAAGTCTAAAAAATTGCTAACGCACTCTTTGGAGCAGGAAGAGATAAAGATAAATTCAAACATAAAAATGCAATATGGAAGTTTAAAACACTAAAAAGCAAGTAGTACTGTTTTTCTGTGACTTTATATTGAAGAGTTTCTAGAAAATTTTACCAACAAAACAAAACAAAACAAAAAGAATCAACAACTGTTACCATAATTAGATTTGGGAAGTAGAAAAGACTTTATGACCCAACTTAACTACCTACAATGAAAATGTAACCAAACTTTACTTTGTTCTTTCTTTAATGCCCTGAAGTCAAATCATCAGGCAGATGATACACAAATAAAAGAACAATCACATAAATAAGACTTTGAAATTAAATTATACAGGGGGAAGAGTCACAGTAAAGGCTAGAAGTCAAGTGAAGACAGGAAATCTATTAATAGTTAGAGACTGTCTCTACTGAGGAAAACCTTATTTTATTTACTGAGCTTTACCCATTATTAATTTCTTACAACTGAAATAAAAGTACAAAATGATGCACATTTAATAGTTCTTAGTTAAAGATATATGTGTTATATTTATAAAATATTCATGATTTAGTATTTTCTATTGTGTATTATTTTAGTGGTCAGTTTTATTTAACCATTTTTCTAGAAATTAAGATTAAGACTATTTTGTAATCTTGCCCTTAAAGTTTCCTATCACTTAATAAATATCTGCTTTCAAACATACTGAGTTATAATAGTCTTTCATAATAAAAATGCCAAAGGCAAACTATGAGTCAAAACTTTTACATTAATTTTAAATGATCTAAATATCTAAAATACTGGCCTGACTTAACACTGGGCTTCATACTAAATACTGGCCTTTAGTTGCCTGATGTTTACTAACTTATAGGTATTGAGCAGTCTAATCTTTGTGGAAAGAATTACTATTTCAATATAAATTACTCAGATTCTTAAAACTACTAAATTGTGTTTCAAAAAAATGAAATATTTATGTCAGATATGTTGCCATAACAAAAAAATAGTACTGAAGCATTTAATAACATTATGATTTTCTATGTAGCTCAAGTCTGTACTAATGGTTTTAATGAATCATACTAATAATTACATCTAAATACCAACATCACAATTTCCATGTCAACACAAAATAAATCAACTAATTAAAGGGCTACAGATTCATATGATAGTGAAAAAGTACTGGACAGAATGTATGCAAATAGCAATTTAAAGATGCATATATACATGCTTACTCAAAAGTCATCTTTAATGACATTGAGGATGTCAATGGATTATATAAATGTATCCATTCCAAGAGCATTGATGTAGTTTACTGGTTTCATTTATTCTGACTTTATGGACTGCTATTTTTCTAAAACAAAACAAAATTTTTAAATTCTACCTACTGGATCCTTTCTTCTGTTGAAATGTCGAAAATAACCAAATTAGATGCCCAAAAAAAGAGATGTGAAGAAATACCAACTAAAATTTATGATCACTTGAGAGGACAAACAACACAGAAAGATGTGGTCAGCAGGAACCCAATGGTAAACCCATTTTTCTCTTTTGAGAGAGAGAAGGTCATTTATCTATGGAGAAAATGCTTCTCTTGTATATACCACATCCTGCCCTCCCCTTTTTAGTTATGTATGGAGAGCACATTCCCTTCTCTTTTCTGCCATCTCTCCTCCCGTTTATTTTTATTTCCCCCCCACCCTACTTCGGAAGATGTCGGAGAAGGGACTATGTGTGGGAAGAGGAAGCTATTTCACACACATTTTTAGTAACTGAGGAAAAAGGAAATAGTTGGTTATTAACTTATTTTTGTGAAAACTAACTGTATAAATTTGTTGTCAAAACCATGAATACAAATTCTATACTTGGGAAAATGGTTTGAGAATTCTACCATCAAAAGGTACACCTAGTATTATGGTTATATTATGGATTTTTTGTTGTTACGGTAACATATATGAAATAGATATTGTATTTTCTAGAAATTTAACTTGGTATGTTTGAAAAATTGAAATACTCATATTCTTTCAAAAAAAGTCATTCTTTCCAGAAAGATCAATTGCCTGTTTGTAATTACTTACCAGTTAGCAAGCATATGCCTGAAAGTTAATTCAGGCTACATTTTAGAGTAGCAAGGCATTGAAAATCAATGTAAAAGCTTCATCCACAGCTTACCTTTGGTATTTTTATTATATACTATGGTTTGAATAAGGTCCCTTCGATAAGGGTAGATTGACCTTTAGAGTTTTTTTCCTTAATCTATAAAGTGAGGTAGTCATAAATACCTCTGAGATGGGTGTATGAATTACATAACACAGTGCAAAGACACTGAAGCATAATAAGTACTCAAGAAATGGTATTTGTTGTGGTAATGACAACACTGTTAATAGCAATATTATACTGTTACTCCTTCTTATGGAAGGGACACTAGCAGAATGTGGAAGGCTGGCCAGTCCAGTCTAGCGGGTGGTGGATGCTGCTGTCTTCCACCTTCCAATTAAAACATAGCAGTTATAGTTGACTGGTTATATTTAGGATCACATTGAATTAGCCTCTCCTGGTCAAATTTGGCTAATTGGCTGGTTTCATTCATTGAATAAATCAGATTATACCATTGTTTACATTTAAAAATAAACCCAAAACAGGTAATCTCATCTTGCTGTATATTTTAAGCTTTACCTAAATAGTTAAGATTTAAAGATTATTTCAGATGAAATTATAAATGATTTATATATCAACGTGTTGGTTATAGAAGTTTCAATCCCATGACTTTTTACATGTCTCTTTTCTTTGTTAAGTACTGCAGAGTTCTGAAGTCCAATGTCATGCATAGATATTGTAAAACTGGACACCTAGGAAACGTTTTAAAACCTAGAGAGACCATAACATTTGAATTTCCTGAACATTGCAAGTGTCAGCACCAGTGATAAGTTTTTTTAGGAGGTCTTGAGATTCAGTTAGATAGAAGATAGAAATTGGAGGAATATTTAGTAAATGACACAAGACAGACAGAAACAATAGACTTGATGGGGCTGAGAGCAGTAGCTCACAAGTGTAATAGTGCTTTTGGAAGCAGAGGCTGGAGGATCCCTTGAGGCCAGGAGTTCAAGACCAACCTGGGCAGTATAGTGAGACCATGTCTCTTCAAAAATTAAAAATTAAAAAGAAATGTCTGGACTAAGATTGGATGGAAGAGTAAAAGAAGCATCACTGGACAGACGTTGGTGGGAACCTTCTGGAGACCTGAAAGAGGACTGTATCTATCTCTCAAAGTGGTTTAAACTTTTTGTAATAACGAACTGATTTGAAAGCATGAGTTGAAAGGTTGATATTTATGTTAAAATTCTTTCTTTGACAACATATTCTTATTTTTCCTTTATTATTATTCAATTTCTAATGAGTTCATTTTCCCTCTCTTTGAGTTTAGATCCCTGCCATTCCTGTCACTGCTTTCCTAGCCTCCTTTTTCTTTCTTCTTAGCCTCAATCCCAGAGTCAGGAATTTAATAATGGTCCATTTGGTATCCCTGGTCTCTCCATCTATTGTCCTTTCATCCACTCACCTTTGCATAGGTAAATCCCAACCCCCAGATGGGCATTCATTCACTTTCTCAACCCCCTTGTAGATTGCAAACACTGAGTCATGTATAATAAACTTTCTATGACATTTCCTGCAGAGTATATTGCAAATCTTTCTATTTTTTAAAAAAACTGAATCCTATTCTTATCTTCTCTCACTCTTTATAAATGGCCTTTATGGTTTACTATAAAGATCAATGTCATTTAATATGTCTCCTCCACTCCCTTCTTCTACCCTACAGAAGTTGTCTTTGCCTATCTTTCCCCTTGTCTTCTGTGTTGACCTCTCCCAGTCCCTTTCAACTTCTCTAATTGTTTTTTCTCTTTCCTCTTTTATCGATTTATTTGCTCTCATCACCTACCATATAGAAGTTCACTAAGATTCCATTCTTGGATGTTTATTTCTTATACATCTGTTCATTTTGCACACTGTCTATCATGGCTTCCAACTGCTGCAGAAAAGATTTATAATATACACAGGCACTTTTTAACACTGAGTATTTGCCTCTCTTTGCCTTCAGATTCATATTTCTACTTGCCTGTAGGGCAGTCCTTCCTGCTATGCTAGCTTTCATTTGTTTAATGTTACATAATCTTTCCTTCCAAACTACGTGTTTGCTCTTTCCTTATTAGTCCCACTATCCTTCTTCAGTATTTATCAGTTAAAAATTAATGAAAGTGTTAATTTTTTTCTAATGAGACAATTATAGTATGGCTTTTCCATTTGTCCCTCTGCTTCTTATCCTCTCTTAGTTCAATCATCCTATATTATTAATTCAACAAATATTGATGGACATTTGCTATTTTTAAAACTTTTCGCAGGCCATGGAGGTACAGACATAAAAAAGCCCAAGCCTGCCCTTCATGTGCTCACAGCCTGATGCGAAAAAGATCTTCCATGAAAGCTATACCCATGATTAGTAACTTTTATGATAGGACAAAACTCAATTCAAGGTGACTTAAGCAAAAAGATAATTTATTGGATCATGTAACTAAAGAATCCAATGTAGACTTTAAGTAAGTCATGATA